GACTTCCATCAGCAAGTCTATGAAACTATGCCCAAAGCATAGAAATGCAGCTGTTAAGTGAGAGCTCTCTCTTTACGGGTATTTCCCTTTTCTGAATCCATGCACTGAGTAGATGAAAATTTCATTTTGTGAAATCACTTGATATAAATTCAGAGTTGTAACCCCACCCCACCCCCTCCTCCAATAATTTCAGTGGGATTACTCTGTTTTTAAACCCAAGGAAGTGGGAATAGTTTTGCTTTACAATTTCACTAATTGTCATTTAGCTGAGGCTGTTGGTCACTCCTGTTTGCCCTTAAGAAATGTGGGTATCTAAATCTCTTAGGCTCCTTTGAAAATCCCATATTCCATGTTTATGAGTATGACGCATGAAAACCTTGTCCCACTGAAGTTGGTGCAAGATCCCATTGACTTCAGTGGGGCTAGGGTTTTGCCCTGAGAGCTTGATTGCACGAGGAGGTGAAGAGGGGGTAGAAAGCCTTCCCTAGACTCTTGCAAGCTTGCAAAGAAGAATTTTTCCAACTATTTGAGTTGGTCTAATAAAAGATATCAGATTTATCCGAGGAACCTTGTCTTCCCTAGACTCTGGGTCAGTTCTGGACAGAATCCTCCCTGCTGGCCAGGGGAGGTGCCAGATTTCGGTGCCGCAACAAAGCTCTCGGAAAGGACAGGGCAGGTTCTACCCTTGCTCTTTGCTAGGCTTGCAGGGATTTTAGGAGGAAAAGGAAGGGCATTGTACCAGAACAATGCCCTTCAAAGGCCCCCGAGTGTGGCAGGGAGGAAGAAGAGGATCCCACAGCTATGACTGCAGACTCCTCACTAGCTAATCCAGTCCCTGCTTCTTTCATTTGAACATAGCTTTTGCATGTTGGCTGATGCGAGGGCCTGAGGAATTTGTAGGCAAGCTTGTGTAGCTCAGGCTAGATAAACTGCAGCATTCAGGTCAGGAAAAAATGACTTCATGCTCTCCGCGTTGACGTGCTGATACAGAGAAGAGAGCTCGGGCTTTGTGATGCAAGATCAGCCCTGGTTTTGTTTATTATGGAACAAGTAGAAACATGAGGAGCTAAACCTACTTAACTCCCCAGCCTGTGTTGGGAAGGGGTAAGGAGACAACGAAACAAAAGAAAATACAGCGCCGGGCCTCAGGTGGGTCCCGCAGGGTTCAATATCGATGAAAAGTTTTGCTTGAAATTAAAATTCAGTATTTGAAGTGCCAGCCAGAAAGCTCTGAAACTTTGCAGGGTGAGATGGACAGTATGAGGTTGAAAACACATTCACGTTTTTGTCAAGTGCTTTAAGGCAGCTCAGAGCAAAGGCAAAGGGTAACTGTTGTACTAAAAGTTTGCCTCGCTAGTCAAAAGTAGGGCATGACTTTTATTAATAAAAAAGTGTGTGTATTGCTTTTTAGACCTAGGAACACACAGCTGTGTGTTGGTGACTTCAGTGGAGCCTGGATAGTGTATAGCAGCAGTCCCAAATTTGCCAGGACTAAATTAGGCATGAATGTACAGAGATTACAGCCCAAGCACAGCTAGTTCTGTAAGAAACTCTGAAACTGGGCAGAGGCCTAGAGTCATCAAGGGTTGTGCTCTTATTAAAAACTTAAAGCGGCCGTGTTTCTCAGAGTTGAGGTATATATGTGTGTATACATGCACACAGTGTACATAGCTGCTTTACCGTTGACCTGTGGCTGGCCTGTTACAGCAAGTCTTATTTATACATTCTCACTGGAAAAAACAAATAAGAGTAACATTGACACCCTTCTTCCGAGTGCGAATTAACTCCGTTCATCTTGTGCTGCCATCTGAAACACCTTGGCAAAGGGGAAGCATTGCTTGAGCAGCAGTTCATTTCACAGATTTCATTGATATTAGGGCTGGAAGGGACTTCGCAAGATCATTGGGTCCAGGCCACTGTCCAAAGGAAGTCAGCTAGCGTCAAATTATCCCAGCAAGATAAGCATCCAAGTGTATCTTGAAGGTGTCCAGAGTAGGTGCTTGCACCACTTCTGGGGGGAATCTGTTCTAGGCTCTGGGAGCGCTGACGGTAAAGAAGTATTTTCTTATGTCCAGCCTAAAACAGTTTTTGCGGAGTTCGTGACCGAGTTGGGACTGGGCTGCTCTCCTACAGGAGGATGCATAGGGCACGCTCAGCTAAGATATCCTGCTGTTTTGGTACATGTGCACGGCCCTCAGCCCCGTTGTATCTGCATGTGTCTGGGATGTTAGTGAGTCCAGCCTTACAAGATCCCTGTGAACTAATGAAGTATTATTGCCTTCTTCCTCCTCTTCTCACCCCCCACCCCCCCATTTTAGAGATCGATAACCAGGACACATAGAGGCTAAGTGACTTACCTGAGGTCATGCGATAAAGATTGTGACAGGGCCTAGAACTGACCTTGAGGATCCTCCGTTCCAATCCAGTGTCTTTTAACCTAAGACCGTTCTTCCTTTTATTGATAAGAGCTATGGTACAGACAGGTCTCCACATAACTACTAGCAGGTTGCCTGCCATATTCTCTAATTCCACTACAAGCATTTCTAGGGGCAACTGTAGGCACATTTGTGCTGTTATTTGCTCCTATACCAACTTTTACCCAAACCCTCATTCCCACCCTCACAGAACACCTTCAAGGACATGCTTATTTGTGCCTTGACCCTGTCCTTGTTTGCATGGCTGCGGGTACATGTTAGAGCCCAAACTGTGCTCTAGCTCAGGCCAGAGCTCACCCGCTTCACGGCAAGGATGCAGGCCAGATCACTTGAGCAGGGGAAGTCTTCCAGTGTCGCTCCACGGGGACAGACACGTTCTCTCAAAACTGACTTCGCTGACAGGGAAAAAACCCTAGAGCAGAGGTTTTCGAACTGTGGGGCACACCACCCTGGGGAGGCATGGAGGAACATGGTGGAGGGCACAGCGCAGCAGGGTGCGGGCAAGAAGTTTGCAAGGAGCCAGCACCACTGCAGCCTTGCTAGGGGATGCGGGGAGCCCTGGGCAGACTCCACCAGTGGGCTGCTGGACCTCCAGCAGCCTGGCACGGTTGGCACGCAAGCCATGGAGGGGCCAAGGCAGGAGGCGCTGGAGCTGCGGCGGGTGGAGCCTGCCCTGCCAGGCCACTGTGGCTGCTAGGATGAGGGGTGCCCTGTGCCTGGCTGCCCTGGGGGATGGGGGCTGCAAACAAAATTATAACTCAAAGTGGGGGCTCAGCTCAAAAAGTTTGAAAACTGCTGCCCTAGAGTCTTACCAAAAAGAACCAGGGGCTATGTCCCCAGTGTATACAGATGTGTGCAGCAGGGACAACCTGGTAATGTGGGCAGGGCTTTGCTAAGAGAAAGTTCACCCTGGGTCAGGGCTCTTGCCAGTTCCCAGACCCTGACACCAGTCACACAGGCCGACTGTGCCATATGGACATAACCTGTGTCTGAATCACAGCTTAGTTGCCTGTGCTTATGTTCACACCCTGGCTATTATCAGCATAGTTTAAGTAATGTGAGGGCGGTCTGGAGTTAGTGTGTATGTGCCCTTGGAGTCCCTCAGCTGTTGCAAAGATTTCTAGAAACACATTTGACTTGCAAAGTGACTTACATTTCATTTAAAAAAAATATTTAGGCTCCTGAGCCACTGAGCTGTTTCTGAGCACATCAGCCAGAGACAGCAAGGAAAGGCAGGCAGTAACGTTTGTCCTGTTGAGCCGCTTCAGGCTCAGCGGTCTTGCTGTGTTCAAGCAACTGTCACAAGATGGACCCTTATACCTCTTCTAGGTTGAATGCGTATCTTCCTCTTGGTAACGTGTGGTTTATGTGCCCAGCGTCTCTCTGTGGCATTATGGTGGTAGACACCTCACCGTTGACTTAGAGTAGTGGTTCCCAGTCTGTGGTGCGGGTACCGCCAGTGGCGCACAAACAGCCTTTCAATGGTACGCATTAACAGATCTATTATAATTACTTTATACAACAAAAAATTGCTGGTGGTACTTACAGTTGAACTGAAAAATGTGCGGGTGGTACTTAAGGTTGTACCGTTTCAAATTGGTGGTGCGCAGTCTGTCAGAGTTTGGGAACCGCTGGCTTAGAAGATGGGTGGATATTTCTAGTTTTCCGGTCCTCCCTTCTTCTCCCACTAACCTCTGCAGACCTTAAAGTCTGGCATTTGTGTGCATGGCTTACTGGCAGGCTTTGTCAGGAGCCATGTTATATCAGATAGCTAGATGTGGCCCCCCAAGAGAGCCAGAAGTAGAGCCCTGTAATATTTCCTTAAGCAGAAATCAAATCTCGGGAGGCTTTTTTTTTTTTCCATCCAGTATAATGAGTTTGCCGCTGCTGCTGCCTTAATTTGGAGTTAATATGTAATGTTTGTAGCAATGCCAAGAAACATTGCTGTCTGCTTAAAGCAGATTATAAAAGTATCTTGTGTTAACACACAAGTATTTTAAAACTTATCCCCATTCAAAGGTAACATGAATCCTTAAAACTAAAATCACTTGTAGTTTAAGAACATAAACATGATGAAACCAGTTTGGGGTTGGGCTTTTTTCCATTAAGGCGGGTACAGAAAACATTTCCCCTTGCTTAGAAGCAAACCTTTTCTTCTTGCATTTTTCCCTCTTCTCACTGCTGAACTATCAGTACTTTGGCTGTTCCAACATCTTGTTGTCACCCGCCGTTCTTGGGGGCTCTGGTATTGAAGGTACAGGCGTGTATTTTTAGAGTCCGTGGGCTGGATTCTGACCCTAAACCAGAATATATCTGCTGGTTGGTCTCGGTAGAGCTACTCCCGATCAGCACTAGTATTACTGTAACTGAACCTGTCCTAATAAACGTTAAGTGCAGACACACTCTCTACATACACAGGAATCATTAGCTGATTTGCTACAAAAGGTAGCAGTTTACCTCCCATCACGCACATGCCAAGACTACCTAAAATGCAGCTGCTCATCAGCTGATACTATGCACTGCAGAAGTAAGCCTATTTATTTTTCTGTCTCTTCCCCTTCCCAGGTGCTCCTTATTGGACCCGGCCAGAAAGGATGGAGAAGAAGCTGCTGGCTGTGCCCGCGGCCAATACCGTTCGCTTCCGCTGCCCGGCGGCAGGGAACCCCACTCCATCCATCTACTGGCTGAAAAATGGCAAAGAGTTCAAGGGAGAACATCGCATCGGAGGCATCAAAGTAAGGCATTGATGGGCTAATCTTGACCTCAGTATTTTGGTTAATTGCTGGTTCCATTATCGACTGACAGATTAGAGCCTCTGTTCGTTCAGCAGCCCTGACAGGGGCATGTGATCATGAAATCACTGGCTTTACATAATAACTAGCTCCATGACCATTTGGGCCTTTTTTTCTGCCTGTATTCCCTGCACCTCCATCCAGGAAATTATTTTTTCTGAAGTGTTTTTTAAAACACGGTGTTTTCCAGGAACTCTGTGATTGAGAGGCGATGTATCTCTGTGTGTTGGTCATGAACCAGGCGACTTCTGCCAGAATGGGGATATTTTTGGTAACCGTGGTAATTGTTTGGATGCACATGCATTAAAAGTAGCTGCTGGTAGAGTACTAACTCTCCCAGCATTTGCCTATGTCAGTCACTCAGTGGTCGGATTAAAAACGGATCGAGTATATAGTTGTAAGTAAAATAACTAGATGCAACAAGGCACAAGGGGCCAGATTTCTGGCCTTGAGTTTTACAAGAAATGCAGAGTAATGCCACTGAGATTCATGGAGTAACTCAAGGTCTCCACCTGTGTAAGGTGGAGCAGGGTTTGGTCTACATAATTAAAAACAGGACTCTTATCTTGAAAAGTGTAACATGAGCCCTTCAGAAATGCTGGGAGATCTCAGTGATCATGTTTGTGGGCATTAACATTCTTGTGATGTAGCGATTGACCCCTTGGTCAAGTGATGGGAACCTCTTTGCCCTGGGTATTGCAAAGGAGACAATGGCTGCTAAAGGTGTTTTGATTTGAGAGGTATTATAGCTGCCGTGTCTACAAACAGAGCCTGTGAACAGCGAGAGGCAGTAAACTGCAAGGAATGCTTGATAAGATGACTTCTTCAACCAAAACCCCTTGTTCAACCAGTGCAATCTGAATATCTTTGTGGTACTACATCAAAATAAGACAGGAGCTTAGCAGGAAAACTGGCTGTTCTCGTTTTGCCTTTGCTTATCTCAGGTGCTTTTTCTGGGGACAGAATACGAGCAAGATGGCTATAAATGCAGCAGTCTCGCAGGAAAGACCTTTATTTGAGGCTGTTTCCTTTCTACTCCCTCGGATTACCCTGCTAGCAGAGCTTAATGTGACTGTTTCACTGAAACCTTTTGAAGCGCTCTGCTCAGCGGTGGGTCACACTCTGGTTGGTTGACAAGGTGGAGGTCACACAGATGAGAGAAGTTGAGGAAAGGAAAGAATTAAGGAGGAAAACTTCCTTGCCGTGATCAGATCCCAGATAACATTTACAAGACACCAAGCACTGCGCAGAATTTTTTATATTGATGGCGTGCTGTTAGGATCGTGGTAAACTACTTTCTGGCGCGGGTGTGCACTTTTATAAACTGCCTTGCACAAATATGTGCGATATCAGCTGCACTAAATTGTGTTTCCAGAATAAAACAATGCCGAAAGCTGTTTCCCTTCCCACGGTCCTTGAGCTCACACTGACCACTTGCATTTCTGCAGCACCGTACTATCCCGCCTGCCTCACAAATGGGCACCTTCCAGCAGTAGGTCAATACTTAAAAAGGCCACGGAAGGCAATGTCAAATTAGTTACAGCCATACTAGTTAAATCCCACTTATCTGGGGCAGGTGGCTGGACTCGATGATCCTTCGGGATCCCTTCCAGCCCGAATGTCTATGAAATCTATATAGCTATAGACGGATCTACCTCTACATTTATCTCTGTCTACCTAGTGGAATATCCAGCCTCTAAGAACAACCTGGAAAGCTTAGCATTCATTCTTTTTGTCCCCAAAAGTCAGAGTAGCTTTAGATTAATTTTTTTAAGTCTTTGGTCAAGAAGGAAGCTGGCCCTTGCAGCATGCAAGCTTAGACTTTGGTTGAATTGAATTGTAATATTTTTTTTGCCTGTTTCATATGTCACGTAGATTCTATCTCAGGATCAATCTCCATTGCAAAGGCGACAAGATGGAAGCTAAAATCTTTAAAATATGAAGCGTGTGAGAAACTCCCCTCCATCTATTTCATCCTTAACTGGTGGAGGAGTGAAATTCATATGACTTATCATATGAAATTTCCCAAAGCGCATTAATAGTTAAATCCTTTTTGGAATCTATAATATCATAAGCCTGTGTGTGTTAAATGACCCTAGAAGGAAAGAGCTGGGGGGGGGGGAGGGTTTGAGGATTATCCTTTCCCCAGACCATTGCACTGACTTGCATACCAGTCTAGCAAACATAGCTTGAGCTTCTAAGTGTGTCTGCAAATGTTTGTCTCGTCAGGAGCCAAGAATGACAACACCCAATAAACCAGAGGTATTTCCAGTATCTTGCCGACCTTTATTAACATCTGCACTGAGTTATTTAGTGTTTCTAGTGCTTTATCAAGTATAACACCTATCCAAAATCAGGAACATCCCTTTGTTGAATCTAGAATCTGCTTTCAGCTAAAACTTTTCCCTATTTACTTCTTTTGCAAGCAAGTTCTGCCTCATGGGGACGTGGTCTGAGTCCTAACATTTAGCCTGCATATAGACTATAAAGTTCAAGTCCCAGAAACTGTGATGATGAACTCTTAAAAGAAAAAAAAAAAAGTCTGTCTTGTTCTGGTGTTTGTATCCAGGTCTGTGATACAGCTTGCGAAGGAGATTGGAGCCACTATAGGTTTCATATATGGAGCTGCCCTTCTTCGAAGTTCAGCTCCTAGGTTCTGCAGCAATAATCGCTTTGAAAATGCAAAGCAGAACTGGATGCCAGGAGCATTCAGTGGCAGGGCCATGTACACCCAAGATGGGGATGGGTCACTAACCAGCCACCGGCTTGGATTCAAATTGCTAACCGTTCTAATGTATTCAGATCTGATGTTTTGGTCCAGGCCCGCTTGCATTTACGTGATGACAAACTCAAACCACAGCAATGTTAAAGAGATCTGCCAGGCATGATTTGCTCTCTTCAGGGTGAAACTGCCTACATTCAGCTTTCTGATGCAGAATCCGCTGGATATCTGAGGGCACAATTTGCGCCCGTAGTCTTCAGGCTGCAGAAAGTTTAGCTGCACCTCCATATTTATTTACACATGCATTGAAGTGAAAAGAAGGACTTTGGTCAGCTCTTAAGAAAAAAAACTCAGGAAAGTTGGCCAGTCAGCTTCTGCTTATGAGAATGCAAAGATGGGGACAGTGCAGCTTTATTAACACCTTGGCTTGCTTGCTTTGTTGCAATCAAGTTTTATTAGACCTTTCATGATAACCCCACTGTGATAATGCCAATGCCAACATTTAAATATGTTTGATTGCCATTTGTTCCCTTTAAACCAAATCATGGGGGCATGGGAGCTTGATGCTTGAATTCTGCTGCAGCTAGAAGGCTCAATCTACATAGCAACATCTTGCTGGCTTAGCTGTGTCCACTCGGGATGAACCGCACAGGCAATATAGCCAGGTCAGCAAAATCCACAGCATGAATGCAGCTCTGGCAGAACAAGGCTTCTGCCAACTAAGGTGCTGCTGTTTCAGGAGCTGGTGTCAGTCCGGTAGCAGACAATCTCCTCCTGCCGGCTACACAGAAGACTCCCTGCGTCATAGCTCAGGGTGCAGCAGTTCCCTAAAGCGGGCAAGCCCCAGAGGTGGCGATTTGGTTATATCCATAATGTACTTAACCAGCCGTAGATGTAAAGAACTGGCGTCACTGAAGCTGCTGTTCTGTTTTCTTTGTACTGAGAGTCCACTTGCAAGTGTTTGGATGCATTACAGTTACCTACCACCTGGGGGGTTTCTCATTTTAGGCTGCTTGCAAGCATTAAAAAAACCAAAAAATGGCATTTTACTTTAAACTCCACATGTTCCCGCACCAAGCCCAGCACATGCCTGGAAGAAGCAGCACATTAGTTGGACCTGGCCCACCTGACGTCTGTATAGATCAAGTACTTCAGCGGGGCTTTTTTGGCACTTTTATCTAATAGCTGATTGACTCTGCTTTAAATGAAAGCTCCAAAAAGCCCCGCTGACGCTCCCGATCTGTACAGATGCTGTGGAGACGGGTCAGAGTAAAGCACTGCCTCTTCCAGTAATGCGCAGGTTTTTTTGTTGTGTTTTTTTTAATGTCTGCAAGCAGGCTCTATGTCCAGAGGCTTGGGTAGGGTTGTTCAGTGACTGTTTCTAAGAGATGCGACTCCTAAATGTACATTTTGCATGTGTGAAAATCCCTTTGAGTACTGACTGCCCAAGAGTGGTTGCTTTGTAGCTCTGGCTCCAGTTTGCAATGCTTCCCACACACGTTATTTCTCTGAACTAATTGGAAAGGTGGCTTGTGTTAGTGCAGGGGTGTCAAACTCATCTGGGCCTGCAGGCCAGATGAATGGCACAGGGTAGGTCCATGGGCTGAATGAATGTCGGGATCAGGCCCATGAACTCCCTGGTGCATGCCAGATCCGGTGCACACAGTATACACTCCAGTTCATTTGGGATTGTCCCACATCTGGCACTCACTCTGGCTGCTTCAAAAGCCTCCTGCATGTGGTGGCTGTCCAGACTAGTTAGGGTGGATGCTGCACGTGGTACAGCCCCAGAGCAGGTATTGCATGAGCCCTGGGCCCTGCACATGGGGCCAGTCCGGCGTGTGCTGCATGTGGGTCAGCTCTGAGACCCAAGGGCAACACCTGCAGGCTATATCTTTGATACCTCTGCAGTAGTGAGTAGTCTACCCTGTACTCGGCTGTATCAGTATACAGTATCAGTATATCACCACTTATTCCTTTGTCAGCTCTGCCAGTGATAGCCCCTGCCATCTTGGTCAGGTCTCTTTTAAGAGACCTAGCTAGTCTCTCTGTCTAGCCAGCTTTAAAAGGAAAGATATGGAGTCTCTGGGAGTACAGCAGAGCCTAGGAGGATCCATCTGTACTTTACAGTGTTGGTTCTCCCATGATTTCTCATGATTTTTTTTCATCTGTTAGCATGTAGAAGACTTGCAATCAGATAACCAGTGGCTTTATAGAGAAGGAATGTGAAGCTGGCTGTAGATGAAGCACTGCCAAGTTCCCAGATTAAACAAGCCACGAAAATGGAGAATATTTTTCTTTTTTTACAATCTCTTTCAGGTCTAGTGACCTGAAGTTACTGGTTACAGCAGTAGGTGAAAGATCTGCAGACAGAAATGAGTTCCTTTAAGCTGAGGCAATCTCTGGACCTCAGTTGTAAAGTTATCTTAATTAATCGTTCTTGGATCCTCTGTAGAGAGGAATGACATGCAGTGCAGCTCTGAATTGCTTTCGTTATTTTCTGTCTCATGGTAGCGCCTAGAAGCTCCATCAGGGTCTAGGTTTGTTGAGCTCGCTGCCTGCCATGCGGTAGAGTCGACAGCCTGATTCTCATTTCCTTATTGCACCCGCTCTGTCATGCCTTAAAGCGGGCATCAGTAATATTTGCCCACTGGCAAAGTGGGTATAAGTGGGTCTCAGTCTGAACACGAAGGAGGTGAGCAAATGTTGATGTGCTATTTATATTGATCCAACACAAGATTAGCTGCCAGTGTTTGATTGAGGTTGGTTTGTGGGTTTTTTCTCCCTTTAGTTACGCCATCAGCAGTGGAGTCTTGTCATGGAGAGCGTGGTCCCATCCGACCGGGGGAATTATACGTGTGTTGTGGAGAACAAGTACGGCAGCATTAGGCACACTTACCAGCTAGATGTGTTAGGTGAGAGTCCTTTGATTCCTCTTCACTTTTATTATGCAACAGTCACCTGCCATGAACTCGCAGCCCTTTTACCAGACCTTCACAAAGAGCTTGATCGTGTTTCCCTTATTGTTAATGGAAAACCTCCCATTGACCTCAACAAGGCAGGTTTGGGTCCCTCCTCCACGGGACGCAGCTGCTGGCAGCAAAGAGGAAAAGTAGTGAATGGGTGTGAGTGGTGGGAAGCCCATCCTACAGATGCCCAAGCCGTGTCCCCCGGCTGTGAGTAAGCAGAGAGCTGTCTGCTCCAGGGTGGTTGGTCCAGTGTCACTTGGGAGCACTGGATACAAACAGCTGAACTCCTGTCCCTAAACAGACTTTCCTTTTCTGGTGGTGGTGTTGAAAGCAGCAGATGGAAACATTCTTTAAAATGAAAGAAAAATTAAAATGGCTCCTCCCTTTTCATTTCAGAAAGGTCACCCCACCGGCCTATCCTCCAAGCAGGATTGCCTGCCAACCAGACCGTGGTAGTAGGAAGCGATGTTGAATTCCACTGCAAAGTATACAGCGATGCCCAACCTCACATCCAGTGGCTGAAACATGTGGAATTCAATGGCAGTAAATATGGACCTGATGGGACTCCTTATGTCACAGTGCTAAAGGTTGGTATACACCGTTTGCATTCACTTACGCCTCAGCCGGGCTGGTCACCATGATGGCCTCAGTGCTGCTAAAGTACATCCAGAATGCCCCCCCAAAATTACCAGCAGGATCTCTGTTTTGTGCACAATGTGAATGGTTGTGATTGTTGTTGTGTTAGCCCATGGATGTGCAATACAGCCCATGCTCATAGATAATGCAGAGTTTGCACTTAGCCAGCTGGCCTGTTCAGAGCATCAGCTTGCAATGCTTGCAGGCCTAATTAAAGAGGCCTGCGGAAGATTTAAGGCCTTAGGGTAAAATCTTGGCCCCATTTGAAGTCTATGGGAGTTTTGCCATGGACTTAAATGTGGATAAGATTTCACCTGTAATGCTAATCTTTCTATGCCTTAGCAGATAAATTAAAGCTAAATAGATACTAGTAGAAAGTTCAGGCCATAGATTTAGGGCCTGATGGGATGGACTCCTCACGTGAAGTAGTTCCCAAATAAATGGTGAATTAGATTAGATTCTTCAGTTTATTAATCTGCTGTGTTATACAGGTAAGAAGATTTTCTGTGTTTAAAGAAATAGTACCAGTTCCTGTCTCTAGAAGTACCTGTGCAAAGCTAGTCCTTCCCAGGGCTTGTATCTTGATAGGGTCATTTTTTATATGCCCAGGGTTAATTAAAAGGACAAGATAAAGGAGGTTGTTTTCCAAGTCCAGTTGTATTTGGAACTCAACTCTGCTTGTTGGGGATCATATTTTTTGCTGCTAGACAAGTGCATTAGGAGCTCTATTGATGAGAAGCAACTGCGATATGTAGTGTTATTTAGATTAATCACAGCTATTTCCTGTGACTACTGAAAAACGTGTACAGCCATCTCCTCAGTTTTAGCCAAAGTTGCAGTGCATACCAACTACGTCTGTTAGTGATCCAGTTGTAAAACATGTGCGGGGTGCTCTGGCAAAGAGGAGACTTGCAGAAGTCTTAGATCTGTGGATTAGAGAACTCAGCAGTGCGCAGATAATTTTTGCAAAATAAATAATGCAAACTACAGACAGATATATACATTGGAGGCCCTAGGTGATGTTCTCAAAAGCGGCTTGTAGGCATCTTCAAAGGTGTTTATGTACTTAATTCCCACTGAAGGTGTAAGGCTCTGAAGTTTCACTGACATTCTGCCAGACTTGGGCTTCTACATGCTGATATCGCTCTTGAGGAAGGATCTGAATTACTTAAATGCATTTCAGAATTTCCCCCAAATACTCAGAATTCAGAAAGATAAACTGGGAGGCATTCTCAAACTAAATCACTGCTTATGGTTGCACTGTACTTGTGTCAAGAGTGTAGACCAGCATTTGGGTGCTCTTTCAGTGGAGGCAGTAAACTTTATTTCCATATTCAGAGGTTCTAAACAGGAATTATAAGAGAACTAAAAGCCTAGTCAGAACTAGCTAGTAATGCCATAATTCCTAGGGAGAGAAGTGTTGTCTAAATTGCATCAGCCATGCACTTCAAGTTGCTCTAATATAATTGTTGCGTCTGCAGGAAAAGCTTAATGAGAAGAATCCAGGCAGAGCTGTTGGGTTCCCTTTTTTCCTGCGCCTGTCTCTGAATGCACACAAGGCCCAGAATATTTAACTGTAAAAGTCCCTTTTAGCAGTTGAATGACGAAATATTGTGGTTTAAAATAATATCCTTCTCTATCTGGAAGGAGGTATATACAGTGAAGTGTTCTGAAACAGATGTTTAGATCTCCACTGGCACCCCACTTCCCTTATACTGCAGCAGCACAGAAAAAAAACAAGTGGTGGTGAGCATTAGGACACATTTCCTACAACTGCTATGACAAAAGATACCGGCAGGTTGTATTTAACCAGGAATTGCAGAAATAACTTTTTACATCGGCAGAAGTATTCCTGTGACTTGCATGCAACCTAAGCAATGCAGCCTAGTGCCTGGGGGCCAGGATGTCACAGTGATTGGCCTCCTGCATATTAGTTCACGCCATTAACATTAGCAGAGCTGCCCAAATTCAAGAAAGCATCTCTACTAGCAAAACACCATGAAACCTTAAAGCTGGAGTATGTTTAGGTAGGCTGTACACAAGAACATCAGAATTGCCATTTACTGAGTCAGATCATAGGTCCATCTTACCCAGTACCCTGCGTCACAGTGGCAGCGTATGCTGAAAGGGAGAGTGAACGGGATATGCCCAGGGTTTTTTCCACTGTTCCTCTCTCACTTGCAGCATTCAACATTTAAGATCTGAATAGGAAGAAATTTGGGCATGCAGGTAAGCGCTTTTGTAGATGGGGCCTTCTAATGTTGAGACGATAAGACTCACGGACTTCAAACGAAAACAGAACTGACCTGTCCGTTTCCCCATTGGAGCTGTGAGAGCTCTAAACAGACGAGAGCAGCAACAGTGAAAAGTGCATTAGATGTAAAATTTCTCCTACACTTTGAATACACTGGTGTGGTATAGGGAAGGACATTTAAAATGCATAGGGCTGAATGGAGTTACTCCAGCTTTGCACAGATACAGCTGAAAACAGAATTCAGCCTTTGGTTTCTAACCCAACCCTGCCTCATGACACAATACGTTCAGCATTTTGTCACTGTCAAGGCACCCTTTCTCTTCACGTGAAATTAAAGAAGTTCTCAGACTATAAATACAAGCGCCAACTTTGCCTGGTAAGGGGTAATAAAGGCAGAGACCCTTAAAAAATAATTTCACTGATCAACCTAAGACAGTGGAAGAAATGGCTGGAGATGAATGCTCAGTATTTGGCACTGTGAGCTTCTAGCAAGTCGATAAATCTTCATTTTCTGCCTGTGCCTCGAGTTTGCTTCAAATATGCCTATTTTAATTTCCCATTGGTTTTGCCGCAAAGTACAGAGTGCTGAATAACTGGCTGTGTCACACGCCACACGGTATAGCCTCTTTGCTTGGTGTGTGGTCCTTCCAGGATGAAGTGCTACCTTTGGAAGCTCGCAGAGTTGCTGCAAGCAGCAGATTGGGTCACCAAACGCAAGCCTTTACTATGCTGTGGCAAAGAACTTTGCATATAAGTAGTGTTTTAAAATTTAAATTTGAGCAGCAGAAGGGTAGCGAGGTTATTAGAACTGCCAAATACTTTCTCTTTAGATAGCATAAACTGTCTTCCTAGAAGTGTGAGCCTTGGCAGCCTCTTGATTTTAGTTTTATTCAGTAGGAGGAGCCATCCAAACACGTAATGTCTGGTGAACACAGAGCGTGCTGGGTTGCGCGTTGTCCCAAACAGGTCCATGTTGGGGGTGCATTGTTGTTCTCAAATACCGGACAGCAGTTTGCTTTGATCAGGCCCAGCTTTGTACAGATATTTTTTTTCTTTAAACCAAAAGATGCAGATATCCAAGGTAAGGCTTTATCTTGGAGCTGGTTTGCTCCTGCCCATCAGACCTTCCCTCATGTCATTCTGTCGTGGAACAGATTTTACTTTCCCCCACCCATGGAAGCTGACAGATGCCTTGACTTTGGTCCCTAACAGTGATGAAGGGTACTCCCATGTCGTCCCTGCCAAAAGGGTTCTCTTATTTCTGGTGTAATTTCCACAGGTCTGGAGGGAAATGGGGACTCTCACATGACCTACCTAGTCGTCTTGCCCCATATGAATCTACAAGGCAGAAGTGGGGGGGTCTTTAGAATCCAGAATATGGTTGAGAGTATAACACTGGGAGCTTCTGAATTGTCATTTGTGTAAGAGGGGAGATGATCTGCTGTGCATATGAAGATACCCTCCATGCACAGATCTGGGGGACAAGCCCTCCCCTTGCTTAGATAATTAAATTTAATGCTACCCTTTAATCTGTTTTTGAAATTGCTCGACAAAACCAAACCGCCATCTGGATCAATTACCGCAAAGCTGGGCCTAATCTGCGAACAAAAAAAGTTCTGTAGAGTACAGGGGGAATTTAGCAGGATGTACAGAGGAACGTTATCTGTGTGCCAGTTGGGGGGATTTAAAACTCTGTGCTGCAGGCTGTGGCAGAGGATAAGCTGCACCCTCTGCATCAAAATGCAAGCAGTTTAATTATAAATAATGCAGTGGCAGCTTAAAAAAAAAAAAAAAAGAGCTATTCCCTATTAGCTGACTTGATGAAGTTTGTTTGTGCCTGTCTCTTAAGTGTGAGTATTAGGAGTGAGACTGGCCAGAAACAGCAAAACCTATACAGGAATCTGAGGATCCCTTGAATGACACGGGTCATTTGCTAACAGCTAAATTTGCAAACCTCTTCATTTCCAATGGGATACAAGGCAAATCAAAAGAATCTGGCCCTATATTAGGAGTGGGGAGGGGGGGGCGCGCATATATAGCACCATAGAGCATTCTTGTATTTGGATATTTTTCTATGATTTTGGTTTGTCGTCCTGAATCAGCGGGGTATTTTTTTCAACTCTTTCACCAGGCACCTTTTGTGGCCCCCCCAGAATGGTTGCTCAGTCATCCCAAATAAAAACAACTGTTTAGAAACAAGCCAATGCGCTGGTGTGGCAACTTTGGAAGAGAAGCAAACCTCATATAACAGTCTGAAGTTAATTTGATTTATATGCACCATTTTATTTAGTAAAGAAGAGGCTCCTATATGCAGTGGAAAAACTTACAGCTAATTTCTGAAAAGCAAAGTCAGCAGCAGGGTTCAGACCGCCACTGCGTATATTTTATTTCCAAATTCTATCCTGGAATCCTGATAATTGAAACAGTATTTGCCAAGTTGGGTTGCAAACACAAAACTCCATTTAAGCCCTTTTCCTAGTGCTCCTGTCTACAGAGTTATTAAGAAACAAACCAAGGAATCTTTGGCTGCTGCCAGATGCAGAACTGGGTAACCCTTTTTTTTTTTTTTTCTTTTTAAGAAGGATTGACTCTGCCTTAATTTTAGAAGGACCAGAAAAGGGAGGGGAGTTAATTTGTATGCAGTGCAACTCAGCTGGCTCACCCATGTCTTTTATTAGGTGTCTCTGCTCACCTGAGTAAGGTGAACAGGGGCAGTCCTCACACTCCCTTCATAAAGGGGTCATGAACAATCAGTCCTAGCTAACTTAGGTTCAATGGAGGTATTGTTTGGTTTACTGAAGTTCAGGTTTCTGTCTGTTCCTGCAGTCTTGGATCAGTAAAAACGCTGAAGCCGATGCTAACCTAAATCTGTTCAATGTGACAGAACAAGATGAAGGAGAATATCTGTGTAGAGCCAACAATTTCGTAGGCATAGCCGAAAAACCATTTTGGCTCCACATTCGCAAACCAAAACCAGGTAAACTACAGACTCTGTCCCAAGGCCCTAGCAACTGCAAGAATGAGCTGTAACATTTTAAGAAGCTAGTGATTAAAATTACTATTCATTTCATGTGACACCCTGTCAACTGACGCTGAATGGCTTTACCTTATTTTCTTGCTAATATTTTTTTTAAAGAACTTAATGCCTATACATCAATTGCAATGGAAAAATTCCCACAATAAAATGACTGTCAAATAGTGCTGTCAACTCTCTCTGTTGATACTCCTTTCCCTTCCTTGCCATTAAGTGCTGATAACAGAATTGCATGCTAATGACTTACGACACTCAAAGCTCTAAGAAATCCAATCTTTTAAACTATTTTCGCCCACAAAATAATCAATAAACAGATTTTTCCCCTTTTCATTAGTTACTCAAACTTATCGATATTGGATCATGCAGGCAAACATGCACTAAGAGAGTAAGAAAAGCCCAATTAGTCTGCTTTAACTCCATCGATTGCACCCGGGAAGAAGTTGTCTAAGTCTTTGCTCAGTCTGTCTCCTGTGTAATGCTGGCGAGTTCCTACAGGACTCTTTCTAATGGTCATCGATAATATCCATGCTGTTGTTACATGATCACATCAAGAGCTGTGTAATCAGTAGGCAGAAGTGGCTCTTGGTTTTCAAATACATATTTTAAAATAATGTTCTTGGATGAACATTTTGCTATTTATTTGATCAGCACTTTGCTATTTCCTCATTAGATTCCCCCTCCTCTTTCTCTTTCTCTCTCTCTCCTTTTATTTCCCCTTACAATCTCCCTTTTTTTCTTACACTCACCCTACTAACCAACAGTCAGTCATATTGTGGGGGCAATTTTTCATTTTTGATGCTTTTGCTTGCATGCTTCTTTAGTGGGACAGAGTAAGAGCCTGGTGAAGGGAACTTTTTGCTTTTACTACAGGTTGCAAAGGGGAATGAATGAATGAATAAATGTGGAAGATGGGCCATTGAAACGAATAAAATAAAATCTTAATCTGCTTTTGAAATTTGCCTGTAAGTCTGTGGTGTCCTCACCCTTTGCTGGGAATGTGGCTTACTCTCTGTTTTCCCTCTCTCTATGTGTGTGTATTTTTTCCCCGTAGACGGCAGGTGTTAACACAACGGATAAGGAGCTAGAAATTCTGTACTTGCGAAATGTTACTTTTGAGGATGCAGGGGAATATACTTGTCTCGCTGGGAATTCTATTGGGTTTTCACATCACTCTGCTTGGCTGGCGGTTCTACCAGGTATTTTCTGCGCTGTCCTCTTCCTTTCCTCTTGGGGATGCCCTTTCACGTTTAATTTAGAAATGCCAAGTTCCTGCATGCTCTACCTCACGTTGAGCCAGGAGTTTTGATCCTTAGACAACCTGCCTGCAAGGGAGAACTCTCCTCTTCCATCTGCCATGCCATCGATACCACTGTTGCATATTAATTGCTTACATCTCAACTGAGGATCTCGAAGCACTTCACAGAGTAACAGTCTCAGTCTCTTAAGACCCTTTTGATTTACATAGTTAATATTGTGCCTGTTTCTAAATGAGCAGGCTGAGATGCAGGCAGCGGGCAGACGGACGTTATGCCAGAATTGAAGGGGGAGGGGAGAGGGACCGCATGTCATCTGATCCGTGATAACAGTTTAATCCATCCTGTGTATCCTGAGGTAGGTGGCAGTTAAATCAAGGCAGTTTAGCCCTGGGATAGAGTAGACACACCAGCAAATTTAATCCTGAATCAGCTGAGGCTCCAATGTTTAGCTTGAATTTGTTCATCTCTCCATCCCCACGTGGATCTTAGGCAGAAGGACACAGTGAGGGCCACTTATGGAGCATAATGGACTGATTTTCACAGGCACTGGTTACTGACGGCTTCAGCTGATGGCAGCTCTGAAGATTGGGGCCACGGTACACTGTCATTTAGTTAGTATGGAAAAGTTTAATTGGCATTCAGAATATGCACAGAGAGATCTATCTGGCTGATGAGAGAGGAGCAGTGCTAACCTCAGCCCCTGACCTAGGTGTGGGGAGAGGGTACAGAACCTGAAGCCCTGGCTGGGCAGGATAGGACAGCATGAGGGAGGTGCAGTCCTTAGTTGGGCATCATTCCCACTGAAGCTGGGTGTTGTGCTCGAGAGAAGTTGTAGGGACAGACCAAACATAGTCGTCAAGAGTCCCTCAAGACTGCAACAGAAGAACTA